AGCCTTCATTTTCTTTTTCTTTTTTTTTAAAGATGACCAGTAAGGGGATCTTAACCCTTGACTTGGTGTTGTCAGCACCAGGCTCACCCAGTGAACTAACCGGCCATCCCTATATAGGGATCTGAACCCGGGGCCTTGGTGTTGTCAGCACCACACTCTCCTGAGTGAGCCATGGGGCGGCCCTCATTTTCTAATACAGTACATTGTGTCATGAGGGATCTGAACCCGGGACCTTGGTGTTGTCAGCATCACACTCTCCTGAGTGAGCCATGGGGCGGCCCTCATTTTCTAATACAGTACATTGTGTCATGTTCATAAGTAGCCCAGAATTTCAAAATAAGTCTCAGAACTTTTGTACCTGTAAAAAAACCCCTAAACTTATGGTTTGAGGCTCTCCAATAGTTTCCAAAATGATTGATGGGTTTTGGAGAGATCATTTGATTATCCCATATATAATGAAAGAAGGTACATTTAGGTCATGGTCTGGAAATCCAAATGATTTAGTGGATAAACTTCAGACTATGTAAACAAAAGAAAAGAGTTATTTTTTCTGGTTGGAGTTTAACCTTTGTCCCTTTTGCTTCCTTTTGTTGTTATTTTTAAATTTAGAAATAAATGTCTCCTCCATGTTCAATTCCAAAGAGTGGTGTGAGCCTATGAAATCATGGTACATCACAACCTAAATGTACCTTCTCATGTATAAATGGGATAATCAAATGATCACTCCAAATTCCATCAATCGTGAAATCACACATTGACAATTTGGGTGCTAATTAAAATATCTGTAGTTCTTATTTTTTGTGAATCTGATTTTTCATATTGATAGAGATGTTTTTTCAAAATATCTAACACATGTTTTAACAAAATCTCTAATTCTCATCTCATTAGCAAGAACATATTAGAGGAAAGGTGGACGGATCCTTCAGGGAGTAATGTACTTTTGCTTCTGTATAGTCTACCTTATCTCCACCTTAAAGTCACAGCTAAAATGTGATATCTGAAGTATGTGTAGCAAGGAGGTTTTTATCGATTGGTATAAATACGTATGACATTGTTCAGCTGAATACTGCTGGTAGGAGTTACTGGCATATGTAGTACATTATCTTATTACACTCATTTTATGGAAGCTGATCCTGATGGGACAGTGGAAGGAGAACTTACTCCAGCTTTCTGGAAAAGCAATTAATCCTACTGCTTATGTAGCAACCATGTCTTGGATCGCATTGGTGTGCTGGCACCCTTTCTCCTTTTATTAAAACAAAAATGCAGCTGCTGACCAGAAGGGCAGCTCTACAAGTGGGGCTTTCATCATGTTAGTAAGAGATTCATATCCAGGGTTGACATCATTTCAGTTATGGCCTTTGCATTATTAAAGTTTGGAATTTCAAGTTTGTTTATTAAAGATTTAAAGCTATAGGTTAAATCACCAAATTGAAATCCACTTATTTTCCTATACTATGATAAGTGGATAAGGTGTGCTGGAAAATGCATTTTTCAGATTTTACAACCAGATAAATTATTTTAATTGTGAAATGCATTGAATGATAAAGAAGCTGATGTTTATTTATTTTTTCTGAATCTTTGGCATTTCTTCTTTATAAGTAACTCTAACATCCCTCAATTTCTAGTAAGTGCATTTAGCAAATGTTTTAGAGCTGTTGACTATTAGATGTTAGTATAAATAGTGGCCAGGACTTTCACATAGCTCTTGTGGCAACTTTACTGTGTACTTCATCTGTTTCTCATCAGTCTCTAAAATTGATAATTCTTTGAGACACATGGCATTCACCAATGTTTGCAAAGATTTTCAACTCTCACTTTAGTCTTGTGCTCAAGGGCTCACTTAATTTGTAATCCAATCTTTTTCATGGCAGTGCATCCTTTAATGTCAAAAACAAAAATTAGCAGAATTCTTTCTATCTAGGGATTAATGTAAATCCTATTCTAAATAGCAGGATTGACATATAACTCATGCAATTTATTTAATAGTGCAATGAAAGTGAAAAACAGAATAGTGGTAGGTATTTGAAGTATGGTTTTTACCGAATGTGTATCAATTTCGAACCATCATAAATCAGTGCAATGGACTGATGTCCTCCCAAAACTTAGTCCCTAATGTGACAGTGCGAAGAGGGTGGGAAAATCCTATTATGGTAATTGAAAGGTGGGGCCTTGAAGAGGTGATTGGACTGTAGGACCATGTCCTAGTGAATGGATTAATAATGGTGGTCAGGAGCAGGGTTTTGAGGGCTTTAAAAGAGAAGCAAATGAGAGTCTCTCTGTCTCTGCTCTGCCATTTTCTGCCATGTGAGACCTCTGCAGTGGTGCAAAACCACTACTGAAGAAGATTCTCACCAAATGTGTTCCCTGGACTTTGGACTTCCCAGCCTCCAAAACTGTAAGCAATAAATTTTGTTTTCTTACAAAGTACCCAGTTCCAGGTATTATGTTATAAGCAACAGAAATGGACTAATACAGGCAGGAATTGTATTTAAATTGTTCAGTTACATATTGTGGGAGGCTGAGTGGAAGTAAATCCAAAAGTTTACAATACTTAAAATAAAAGTGTTTGTTGCTGTGTTCCAACACCCAATGGATGCCAACTAAGTGTCCTTCAATTCAATTCTGATGCCAACTACCCAGAGTTAGCTTCAGACTCCACGGGTTTAGGACAAAGTCCTTTACTGTCCTCACTTCAAATACCAGTCAAAAGTTTTTTTGTTTTTTTGTTTCTTTGTCCTTTTTTGAGACCGGCCGCACTGCACTCAGCCGGTGAGCGCTGTGAGCGCACCAGTCATCCCTATATAGGATCCGAACCCGCGGCAGGAGCGCTACTGTGCTCCCAGAGCCGCACTCTCCCCAGTGTGCCATGGGCTCGGCCCACAAGTTTTGAGTATTACCAAAACACCCACACTTCTGCCTGGCCAACTACAAATTGGGGCTTCCCACAACCCCATCATGTTCCACAGTTTGCCAGAATGACTCTGAGAACTTAGGAAAGCACTATACTTAAAATCGATCATTTTATTATAAAGGATACAAAGAACAGTCAAATGAAAAGATACACAGGACAAGGTCTGGAAGGATTCTATGGCAATGCATGGTATCACATGGCGAAAGGAGCTAATGCCTCACTTGCTCTCCTTTTAAGGCCATTGGAACCACGCCCATTACTCCATGAATGGATCAATCCCTTCACAAGGGTACAGTCCCCACAATCTAATCACCTCTTCGAGGCTCCATCTTTCAGTTACCATAATAGGATTTCCACCCTCTTAATGGTCACAGTAGGGATTAAACTTCAATGAGTTTGGGGGTACATTCAATCCACAGCATGCAATAAAACACAAT